CAACTTCCAAATACCTTTGTAATTGTTATTATAAATGTATGTCGAAGTATTTCAACTGTATTCTCTGATGTCCGGGTCAGGTACGATTTTAAACCACTGTGCACTGAATGAACAAGTTGTAAAATGAATTTTGTTTTTACAAGTCAATTTAATATTTTACTGCTGGCTGTGGAACTGTATTCATCTGTGACTGTGTAGCATATAAATTACACTTGGCGTATGCATGACAGTCAGTTGCAGTAAAACAGGTTTAAATATGCTTATTCAGCAGAATTTTAAGGCTTTACCTTTTTTCACTTATTTGCATATGATTGGCTGGATACAAAAATGCAGCAGCTCAGAGACACTCTAGTGAATTACTTCATTTAGTTTCTTTGGCCCAAGCATGCAGCCAGGTGGTTGTAAATAAAAGCCCGACTACAGGAGGTGGAACATTATCCTAATCTTCTCCGTAGCCCTTCGGGCGTAACGCATCTACAAAAGGCCTATCATGGACAACACATACTCTCTCTCTTTTCACAACCACTGCGCTGAGGCAACAAAGTCCTTACGTTGGAGTTTTGTCAGTCACAGCAGCATGAAAACTGGTTCAGTGGTGCCCCTCACAGCTGATGGGTCCACGTAGCTGAGTCCTAGGTACCTTGCCTACAGTTTGACGTTAACATTTAATTTCTAAGTGCGGCAGGTTACAGGCAGTCTTTATTTCATTTTGGTTAAACCTCGCCAGCAGCAGGCCAGTCTTTATTTCAACTCGGCAGTTGCGAGTTATTTTGATTCAAGTTCAAATAAAAAAAAAAACCTTCACTAAAACACTATGATGGGAACGAGGGTATGGTTGAAGCAATGGAAATACTTGGCTCAGAAAGACTGCAAAAATGGCCCTTGTGGTGTGCTGACAGCAGTGATGAAGGGAGACCGCCTACAAAAGGATCTTAGGTTCTACTATACATATTAATTTCTGTTAGTGAAACACTGTGATTCAGTTGAAAATCAGACAGCTGTGTTAAAGCTAGCATGTCACTCAACAGCAGTGCGAGAAACACGATCAGATGACACTTAAATAAATATCTACATTTATGCAACCATAAAGTTACATAAAAGACAGGTCTTCATAAATCTGTTTTAAAATACTGAAACACAAATTTCAATCCTGCCTGCACAAGCTGTTTAGTGCGTTTCTGTTATCTGTTCAATTAAAAGCATCACATCATAAAGGAAGACCTGGTTGAAAAACCTTTGAAGAAAGCAGGACTGAAGCAGGTAAGACCAACAAATGAAAGAATGATGTTTTAACATTCACTCTTGGCATGATGACAAAGTACTTGGACTTCGACAATACTCGGTAAACTTGGTCATTGAACTAACAAAAAACACATGTACTGGTACTTACCTGCTTTGAAGCAAGGATCTTAAGAACACTAGGAATGAACTGAGAGCATGTAATCTGTACCAAACCTGCGCAGTTATGAAATAACATCATTTCCTCACAACAGGACCAGTCCTGGCATACATGTAGTAGGTAGACAATCAAGGGAAACCACCATTGCTATGAAGCTTACATGATCTGATGATTAAAAAGACAAATTTTCTTTCATGGATTTCAGTTACATACAGTCCAAAGAATATAAAAAAAAAGTACAAACATCACAGTATATTCAAAGGCTTTGTGATGATGAAATGTAATATCTTAGAAATTCAATACATTATGTTAGCAGCAGCACTGACTCTGTGCAAACCTTAAATATCCAATTCTTCATAACAATCAAGGAAATTGCTAGAGTAACCTGCCCCCCTTTTGTCTTTTGATAAAGATCTTTCTTTCCCTTTTGCAAAATTGCTAATATTTTGAATCTTTTCTCACACAAGTATGCCACACGGTTGTGGCTAAATGTGTGCCAGCCACGCTTGCCTCCCAAAATCACTGGCTGACGCAATTAACGGTGAAAATAAAGCTTGCTAGTTGGCTCAAATTACACTGCATTAAATGGTGATTATGAAGTTCTAATAGTGGTAACGGGCTCAAAAAGCACTTCAAGATTGATTCAAGTCAAGCACTGTTCCACTCTCTGAATTTTTTCAAATGTACATGTACTCGGTTGGCCCGTGTGCACGGTGCTCATTCTTAAGGCTGATGCTGGAAAAGCCCTGCCAATCAGCCCCAAAACAGCCAGCTGACTGACAAAAGAATTGAAAATATTTTCAGAAAACTAACATCTCTGCTACATTTTGGCTGAGATTACACTGAACATTGGCATTTCTCTTACTCTCACTCAAGAAATGAATGCAACTAATCTGTGGTTTAAAGCAGGTTGTTCCACTAGGGCCTTCATGCACACCGAGACAACATTCCCGCCTCTCCTCTCATACCCCTTGAGTTATGAAGCATGTGTGTCATCCATAATGTACTCATGAGCCTCTAACTGGGCATGTGGACCATCTTCTGTCAGTACATCCTTCCAGTTTCATCTGCATCTTTTAAAGGAAATGCCGGTACTTTATACACGAGTGTTTTCTCCTCCAATTCTCACCTTTTCCTGTGTGAGTTTGAGTGCCAGTACATAGATGTTCCTGCACAGTAACATGCCAGACTCAAGCAGTACCCTAAAGTTCCAAGAGAATGCTCTTGATAGGATGCAGCACGTTCCAGATGCTCAAGCCAGTCTAATACATGTACATGAAGTCCAATAGGGTGAAATGAGGAAAAAAGTTCATATTAATCAATAGTGCAATATGAACTGGTTAAAAAAGCTGCATGAGCACAATCACACATTGTAAAAGGCCATTTTCAACTAGTCACGTAAATCGTTTTATCCGAAAGCATGTAAAATGCCCCCAAATTGAGTCTCACCCTTGTAAAAGCAATGAAGGCAATAAGAGGTTACATGAAGAAATTAAGGTAATTCCAGAAATTAGGGGTCCAAAAGTGTGACATTTTCGTGTCCCTGTTACACCTGACCTTTGATATTTGACATGGAAATATCACTGAAATTGATTTCAAACTATTACTATTTGTTTGGCAGGTAATTTGCATTAATTCACCATATTGGAAATTAGAAAATATGTCACATGTGACAGGGACACAAACAAAATGGACCCCTAATTTCTGGAATTACCCATTATGGCCCCCCTCTCCCAACAAACATTTTTGGCCTACTCAAAATGTGGTTCTGGATTTTGTACAAGTACATATACCCACTGTATGTTCTTAACCCTACAATCTTCCCTCAATTTTGGCTGACTATAAGCAACGTGCAACTAACAAGGTTTCGTTGGCTACATGATCAGCCCACAAAAGATCAAGAACCAAATAATCAGCAAATCCTATACAGGGGACATGTACGTGTACATATGTAGCTCCCATAGCTTGAGTAACTCCCGCCCCTCATGTTCGTTGTACTGGGAAATTCCCTTACATTTCCCGACATCATGAGAATTGGGGCTAGAGTTCCTAGAGCCATACTAACAGGTCAAATCCTTGGGTAATACATGTACATTCAAAATTACTTTTTTTAATGATAGAAGCAAAAAAACATGTACCATCTGGCATATTACTACCACATCCACCATCAACACAAAGCAGAAGGCACCACAGCATTGCCTTGGTCCTATTTCATAAATCTCCATTGATCTTACAGTCCCCTCTGGCAGCCATGTACATACCATACATTATGAACTAGAGAAATCATTGTAACATACAACCTTTGAATAACTTGGGTACGTTATGCTTGCATCTAGCCTGGGTTGGACATTTTCATCTCATTGTGATTACCATTCAGGGTGTGAATTCATTCTCCCATATCACACTTTTTATAACACTTTTTTCCCACACTTTTGTGCCACACCTGACATCGAAAGTACGAAAACTTTTGTTCACACATTTCTTCTGTCAGGATTTACAGCATCCTTGGGTGACATAATTGTGGGGCATACTCCGTGATGTATTTGTTGTTGACTAATCTCAAAAACAAAAAAAATTCCTGTGGGAGGTCTTACAACTTAGACTGGTTCCCTGCCATCAAAGAAGCAAGTCATATGTGTATCATCTAGTAACGGAAAAGGAAATAGACCAAATTTTGGTAAATGTACAATTGGTTTAACACTTGCTTATGGACAGGAAAAAGTTCGCTATGGCAGGAACTAGATACATACATGTACATATATCGGTTCCTATATTAAAGCAGTTACCCTGTTGTCACTGTATAAGAAATTTTGAATTCTGTGTCACTAGTGAGTTCCCAATCGGTAATATTCACCAAGGTCATCAGTAAATTACGGCCCAAGAGTGAAAAACTCTGCATGTTTCCGTCACTTTTGATAAGATAAGTTTTTCCAAAATATGACAATTTTCCTTCACCGTGTTAGTCATTACCCAACATCTACTCCTTTAACAGTTATAACTGTACTTTGAATGAAGCCCTACCCTTGGATATCCCTTGCTGGATTCCCCAATGTCACTTCCGAAATGGTCAAAGGTGTCTAAAGACACTTTTAACTGCAAAAGTGTCCAGTTTAAATAAAGGCTTCTGCACTGAAAAACTCTTAGCGAGCATAAAGCCTGCCCCCAACCCCCATTCAATAGACTTGTATCAATCATACAGCTTTTTAGAATTTCTAACATTAATATTGAATGAAATAGTTCAGGTCTATTAAGATGATTGTAACTTTTTGGGAATTAGAACTCAGAAAGCAGACATTTTTTTAAAGATTGTTTCAGACATCTATGAAACAATGAGTCCACCAAGTGAATGAAATTTGCAATACCTGCATATTTATTCTTCCCACAGACAGAAATTTAAGTAATAAGATGAGTGTCAAAGTTGTTGCAACGGCAGCATTTAATATTGGGGTTGTAAAAGTCTTGGTAAAACAAATGAAGTCATTCTTTGAGGGATTAATAAGTGTAAGGTTATGCAGTGCAACTGTTCCCATCTCATTCTCTTGGAGTTTATTCAAATTACAGGTAAAATGGAACATTATCATAAACTATTTTGTTTACCCTGAAAACTAAATCATTCTGTTAAAGCTTTATTAATTCATAAACAAAGTTCTTTAAAGGCCATCGTAGATAGCCTATTTCTCAATACATGTATCACTTGCATACAGTGTGCACACTGATTTTCTGAGCTATTGTAGAGGAAAATAAATTGAACCACCAACAAATTTTTATCAATCAGGCATGTCAGGTTCAGGTTAAAAAGTAAGAGTGAAACACCAACAAGGACAGTACAATTCAGGAAGGTGAGTGAGAAATCTTTACTTCGATCAGGAAACAGTGAGAACTATGAGCAATAATTAGCAACCCATGATCGAACCCTGGATGCTGAAAAAACGGAGACTGCGTGATTGCCAAAACGAAATAGCAATAGCAAACCTGCATCGATCATGATAGGTAAAAAAAGGTAGGCTATATCATGTGTTCCATTTCACTTTGAAGAGTAGCCTAACACTGTGGTTATACACATGTACATGTATACTTTTCCCATTCAAAATTTCAAGACTATTTCATTTTCTACAGCATAATAATCACCATGATGATCCCAAAAGGTGTTAGGCTTTCAAAGCACCGAGTTCGTCTAGACGCAGCCTTGTGTGGCTATCTGTAGTTTGTCCCTCCATCCAAAATATGCAGCAGGTTGCAGCATGCAGCGGCAGTGTGGCCACGTGCATGGAGCTTGATGATCGTGTTGTCTTCTTCAAATTCCAGAATTGTGGATTTCAGACAATTTTGCTCGACTTCATTAAACCGACCGTCACAGCCATACAAACACAAATGTACTACAGGATACATCATGGAAACTGATATCGTTATGATATCGTAACTCTCTGATTTACAAGTACAACTTACAAGAAGTTCACGCAAACTTCTGCTTGTCATCGACGGTGCGGAATACCACTAGTACTACACTACCAGTAGTTTCGTGTACTCCATCCAAGCAGTTTGAGATCATGCTGCAGCGCCACCACTTGTGCCCTGGATTTGTTAGTTAA